TGAGTCAAGAAACATCCATCATTAGGATGTTCTCATCTCGTATTGTCTTGAGTTTCTCTTGAATTTCCAGGATTGGGGGCGTCTTAAAAGTTGAGCCTGATGCAACAAATGGTAATGCATGCACATCTTATAAGCTGTGAGCTCTTGGGAGGCAACATAGTCACACCAGTTTCATGTTTGAAATAGCTCGGTGTGGAAGGATGAGAACCTTGCTAATTCTCGAGATAGTGGTAAGTTTAACAATCACACTCATCCACTTATTCTCATACCAACATTGCCATGGTTATGATCACGATCACGGGTAGACCGATCTCATGCATATGTCCGCAGCGAGTGTGGTATTTGACCTGGAATGACAACACACAAGGACAACATAAACTTCTGCCTGCAGAACTACCATCTATCATGTTTCTATTTCTGTTGATTTGAGTTACTTCATCTTACGTGATAAATCGGAAAATTTGTGAATGTTATTCAGGCACCATGCAGTAGTCGGGAGAATATCTGCAATTTTACTTCGACTGCATCACTTTACCGTATCATTACACTAATGATCTTACTCAGCGCACCAAGAAGGTTGTTTTTCTTACAATATCCTTTCTCCTACCATCACTTTCCCCTTTCAAACATACTCGAAACCTATTTTGAGACGAGGCTATAACAGAGTGTGTTATCATATCACGACTTGCAACGAGGCGCAGCTCCAAAAGGTGGTATGGGGTCACGTCACTCCCTCCATTGCATACCTCTGCAGGTGTCCAAATTCAGGTACCGCATGATATCTTCCGGTATTCAATGTACGGACCGAACAGTCTTACACTCACTAGAGGCATATCTCGACTGCGTAGAGTGCCATTTTCCTATTTGATCTTCAGGAACGATTAAACGCATGTAGTATCACGCTGTAAGAAGCTTTCATTTGTCACGATTAGGTGGGGGACATTTGTACCTGCGCTGGGGGTTGCAAGACTCTCTTTTACCGTCACGGGGAAGTACATCATCCACCAGGGACACGCACAAGGTGCATTCTTCTGGAACACACACGGCGTCTAAGGTTCTGTCGCGTCGGCTAGAAACCAAGGATGCTCGCCTCAGATATACTTGAAGGGGAGTTTCATGAAAGGGGACACCAGATCACTTAGTGTAGGACGCAAACACCATTTTACAATATTCTAATTTGAAGTTGACTTTATCAAGAAGTTATCTTCGATCAAACACTTGAGAGAAAACACCGAGCTAGATCGCCGACTGAGATATGTTTGTTTCTAACGATATCAATGTGCATTCAAAATTGTGACCACCTGTGAGTTAAGTCGGGTACCCTACTTTCGGGCCACCCCCTTTTGGACCACTTTTTATATCAAAAATGGAATTTTCAACTTTCTTATTTATAAATAGAATTTATTGAAAATTTATAAATATATAATTTAGATTATTTTTAGTTTACCTTGAAAATTTCAGATTTTTAGGAATTTTCTGTATTGAGATCTAAAGCTTTAAAATATCGATTTTTAAATCTATATAGGAATTATATACAAATTTGAAACTTTTATAAAATCTTTAATAACTTTTTAACAAAAATTGTTAAAAATAAATTATAAAATTTTATTATAAATTTATAATATATTTATTTTGAAGGATTCAGAAAAAAAAAGAAAATTTCCTATAAATATATATTTAAAAGAATACCCTCAAAATTGCAGGGATTATTTATACTACTTTAAACTTACTATATATTATATCTCTATATCTATTAATTTTTTTTAATTTTTTTTTAATTTCTATATAGATTTAAGTTCAAAACTTTCCAAAAGATATATAGTTTTCTCTTAATGATTGTTATTAAAAAGTTATTAAAAATTTTATAAAAGTTTTGAATTTATATATAATTCTTATATAAATTAAAAAATTAATATTTTAAAGCTTTAGATCTCAATATAGAAAATTCCTAAAAATTTCAAATTTTCAGAATAAGCTTAAAATAACTTAAAATATATATATTCAAGTTTTTATTAAATTAGATTATACATTGATAGAGATATTAATAGGCCAAAAAAGCGATTTTTGATGTAAAAGAGTGGCCCAAAACAGGAGTGGCCTGAAAGTAGAGTAATCGATTTATATAGATAGATATATACTCGACGAAATAATTAAAGATGTATAGTACAATTGAAAACATTTATAGTTTCAATAATTTAGGATAAAATAAGCTTAAATTGATATATATAATCTATGAATATAACAATATATTATATTAAAGATTCTAACAAATTGTAATTGAAATAATTGAAATGAAAGCAATTAAAACTATTAAATTAATTCAAAAAGTACTTATTTTTAAATATATTTTAAATCTTCAATAATTTAATTGATTTAGAATTTTAAATATTAAAAATTAAATTTTTATAAAATAAATTTTTATTTTCAAATAAGTAACTTTTTATAAAGATTTATTTATAGTTAAAAAATTTATTGATATTTTTTTTTAAAAAAAATTATTTTCAAAAGAATTGATTGATTTATTTTTAACGATTTTAAATATAAAGATTAGGAGATTTAATTTACTTTTTCGATTTCAATCTTTAATTACCTCTTAATTTAAAAGAATTAAAAAGAAACTCTTTCTTTTATAAAAGATTATCTAATTCTAAATTAAAATTTAGAATACATAAATAAAATATCGAAAAACTAATAAAGATATATAAAATATAAAATATATTATAAAATTATATTTGTTTTTATTAACTTACTAACTTTAATATATTATTTCATTTTTATTTTTTATTCAAATTCTATAAAATCTTGTCTAAATATAAAGAACATATATATCAATCACCATACGAAATTTTATTCAATTGTAATAAATTTTACAGAAGTTATATTCGAGTTTTGTTTATATTATACATCATTAATTATTTTGCCGAGTACACACTGGGGAGATAGATAATGATGGTAAGATTAATAGTATTAGCCGGTCCCCCCCTGAGAGTTGATCTCATCTACATACTGTTTCGAGGTTCTCCCGCAAAAAATGGAGATGGAAAATCCCCCCAAACTCTCGATTTCTGGCTGATGACGAAGTGTTTCAAACGTGACCCTTCCCAAGAATCGATAGGTCTAGAGTTCTCAACTCGTATAGAACCTATTGGAGCAATCGAATTTCTTCCCTAGGTAGATGGCGTTCATGACAGACACATGGCAAAAGGGTTTCATTGTGTCACATCCTTGGAGAATTCTTGTACATAGCCATTTCTTGGTGGTTGGGTCAAGTATTTCGGGGGCCTCTTCAAGGCCGTCACAGTGGATAATGGTACGACAAACGCTACCAAAGTGGATATCTGTACAGTGCAAGCTAAGTAAGTTATTAAGCTACTGTAAGTTCTGAGCATGCTGAGGTCGTAGCACAACCCCTCCCGATAAGTCCTCTCAGTCCTGTAACAGACCACACGATGAACCCACACAAATCCTTCTTGACTCCATTCCCATGATTTAATTAATCAGTCACCTATCAGTCTCTTGGGAAACCAACCTCTCATGCTATGGATGCTATGGATGCTATGGATACTACATACTTTGACGTTCCGGTTTTCCGCTGTCTACGCCATCGTAACATGAGCCAATGAAGAGCAATGAACTTCAAGACCCCCATTCCCGTTTGCTGCCCATGTCGAAGATCACTTAATCAATTTCGAAACTCCATGAAAACCCCATCTCAAATAAAACCGAAAAGAGGTTGCGATTAGTCAGTCTATGGTACTCCGAATGTCACGCCTCCCCCCTTCCCTCCCCCAAGGATAAGAGAAGCTGACGTTAATGATACGAAAGATTTGGTAGGTATTTGAATTCTAAAGACGTATCCGGGTCCATGGGAAAGCTATTATGCATGTTCAAAAAAACAGTATAGCTAATGGATTGAGAAGAATATTACACACATACTCGACATACAACACATGTAACGTCTTTCTATTAGTGGTGGCATTTCGAGAGACCGAATGTGAAATACTTTTTGGGAATCAGGTGCAGATACGCCCATATTGATCCTTACCAAGTACCACGAATAACTAGATACGGTGCGGTGTCCACTTTTGGATTCCCACGCCCTTGTCTCCCGGATTATTGGGTTGAACAGAAGACGAACCAAACCCATGACATTGATGAGATTTGAAGAAAATACATGCTTTTGTCACATGTATGTAAGCAGGTAGCGAGGAAAGACCAAAAGAATCCAAGACATATAGCACGGTGCTATGGTTCGGTAAAAGAAAAAGAACAAGACAAAATAAAAAACGTGGTTGATTATTAACATTTACCGTACTGACTATCCCCTTCTAGAGATCGGTTCAGCCTCTTAATGTTGTTTGTATATACAGTATTATTTATATTGTATCTGTCCTCACTCTGAGCGTTGAGTGATGTGGGAAAACTTCCTCAGCATCATTATTCTGAGGACCGACGTCCTGTCTATCATATCAGTCAGCCGGCCAGGAAATCTATATTACAATTTTGGTCCTGTTTGAAAACTTATCTCCCGATTTACAACGACACCAGGAAGATATTGTAGATGCAATATCAATTTGAGATATTCAAGGAGGGGCGCAATCTTTTTGCTTTCCAATTTTAGAGTGGGCTGAAATCACCGTTATCCTCTTCCATCAACTCGAGTTAAACAACGGGCCGCATTTGCTGGGAGTAAGAACATGGCATGCCAAGGTCATAACAGGGGGAGGCAGGGGGTTCGGATGAAAAAGCCCCAGTCCATTGGTTGTGTAGCCGTGCTTATGGTGTCTTTGCTCTTTAGTCCTAGATGAGTACCCAGGCGCAGACCTTTCCAGCGAATGATAGATGCTTTCCATCTGCAAGTTTGCTGCAGACTTACAGACCAACATATTAATTCGGTCATTTTTGTTTATTCTTGTCTACTCTACTGTATCATCCCATCTAGCAGCACTAGTTGACCTGCATCTACAGGCGGACAACCTAACTCGTTTCAGCAATAGTCATTCTTTGTGATGAGTAGAATGTTACATTTTGCATTATCTTGTTCATAAATAACATCGAACTACTTACTTTGCATAGAATTCGGGCATGGTCCATAAGCGCAAACATCAGGGGTGCCACGAGCGAAAGCTGACACTTTGAATTTGATGCGGGATCCGAAGCCATGGGGTATGATTTCTATAAGCGCCCTCAGACAAGGTCTGCAGTATGCATGGGGTTGATGGACAACGGGCAGCCTTCCACGACTTTCCTCGTCTTGTCTTTTTCCTCTCTCCCTCCAACCATTCTTCTTTGTAAAAATAATCGCGAAGCCAGCAATGCCCCGCGATAAGTTCTATCTTTGTGCATCTACTGCGCATTTGTCTAGCGACATTGGAAGTACATGACATATACATTTCAAAAAATATCTTACACCCTGAAGCATCGTCACCATCCCAGACTCTGCTCACCAAAGACTTTAAAGTGCCGGTATTGGCTCCTGTGCTGAAGCTCCCGCCCCTGACATTATCCATTCTTTCCAAAAAGGCTGTGCAGGGCTGTAGGGATACATCTTTCTTCGTTTCCAATTTGAGGATAATCATCATGTCGAGCCTAAAAGATATCATGGACGTAGATGTGGAGCCTCTTGAATCTCAAGCCTATAGAAGGAAGGAGGCCGCTCAACAACAAGCTTCTCGACCATCCATTGATCCTTCATCTCAAAGTCCCTCTCCTCAGCTTGATGATACTAAAGGGAAACTATCTATGAACCATCGAAGATCAAATCGAGTTTCAAAGTCGTCCACTCAAGCTACAACATCGCGGCCCAATTCATCACGGCGGCGTAGTAGCGGTGCTGGAGAAGCCATGGACTTTTCGGCCTATCAAGGTGGCGGATCAAACCAAAGAAGCATATCGGGTAGTCCCTCACAAACATGTTCGAGAGGGGGAATGGAACCAATGGCAGATATAGTGCCTATCAAATACACACCCGTGACTGGACGTATTAGCAGAGCAAAGAAGGGTATACCAGTTCATACATGCGACGACTGTAGGAAGGTTCGTTCTTAAGTTTAGTGTACTTTCAAGTCATAAGCTAATAAAAACACAGACATTTACCAGGGCGGAGCATCTCAGGTAAGGATTTGAGTCTCTCAATTTGACTATGCCATGAAGAAACACTTTGCCATACCAAGGTGTAGATAGTAACAGCTACTCATGTAGTCATGAGTAGTAATTTTGGTTGGAATGGACGCTTAGGAAAGAAGAATATGGACCAATTTTTGATTTTTTTCAATTACAGGAGACACAAACTCAGTCATGGTAAACCCGCCTATCCGTGTACTTTTGAAGACTGCGAGAGAACATTTCATCGCCCGGACTTACTTGCACGTCATCTCAATCGACAGTATGGTTCCTCCTCTCCCGCTTGAGAACATGGCTAATGAATTGAAGCGAGACACAAGGCGAGAAGGCGTACAAATCCAGTGACCCAAGAAGCAGAGCCTCCTCGAGCGCATCGGAGAGTGCTCCTGTAAAGTTAGAACCCACATCTCACGGGATCTCGATGGCCCTGGGTCAGATATCTTCAGAAAATCCAACAACACCTAGAATTTCAGCGGGAACGGATCAATCTGCCCTAGCTCCGACTTTCAACACAATGACGGGGAATTTTCAACCTGTTGACTTTTCATCGGGAAGCTCTCATAGAGGGTCGGTCAGTCAAGCTCAAGTGACCGATGTGGAAGTGTACACTACAGCATCACCTGGTTCGGTCCCATCTAGGTAAGATTGACTACAACTCTTCTAACATTTGCTCTTTTCTGCTTGTCCGCTTAAATACCTCGATTTATGCCGTTCATTCATTTATCCAGGCAATATACGTGGACTGCTTGGCTGACTTTAGGTAGGACATTCGCTGAGATGACCCCGAACTATAATGTACGACCCATGCCAGACTTTTCCGAGCAAGACCCTTATCGGGCAACGAACTCCAGCTTCCAAGGGTTATATACCCAGGAAGTGTCCTCATTTCATTCCTATAGCCCCCCTCATGCTCTACCACTTCTACGTATTCCGGAAGAACCTTATATGCCAAGTTTATCTTACACGCACGACAACTCACCCTGGTGTTCATCGGCTTCCGATAGCACATATTCAGAGAGCTCACGCACGGGGAGAATAGCGCACAGAGGTCGATCTGGATCGTTAGTCGCAGCATCTGAATGGCCTGTTCCAGTTCCTAATGCGCAGTGGTCCCATGGTATGGAATTTCGCCACAATTTTCAAATAATGAACTAATAATGTTATACGATAGGTATGGCTAATACAACCCAAGACCTTAGAAGCCCGCCTTACGAAACAATGATGGAAGCTTATGATGCACCTTACACACCCCCTAGAATGTCACCGCCATCTCGTCAGTTGCTTGATGTGCCTGCTTATGATTTGGGGGGATATTATATGGAATCAGTGGGTAATCCTCACACCTCAACATATAATAAACACTTGGCTCAGACTTTTCTTTCAGCGTCCCCTTCGAGATTATCCGACCCCCGATTGGCAGTCCTTGATAGAAGATCGAAGGAGTTGGTGGGATCCCAGCAATTAGATACACTAACGAACATCGAAACGGTCATCTCATCTCCTTCCCAGTCCGCAACCTCTAACCTCGATACCTATCTTTCTTTATATTGGAACTATTTCGACAAATTGTTCCCTATGATTCACCGAGGAACATACATACAAAACCAAAACTTAGCACTCACCTTCGCAATGGCTGCCATTGGCACTCAGTACCATACAAATCCCGAAGCACGAAATCACGGCGTCGAATTCAACACTTACTGTACTAACATAATTCCTGTGGTTTTTGAATGGTCAATACAAATAATGCAAGCAATATTACTTACAGAGATATTTACTCGTTTCCGTGGTACAAAGACCACGGTTCGCTCATCTCGCCAGTTCGAAGAGTTATACAATAGAGTGAGTCGATGCTGTTAAGGCCATTTTGGAAATATTTATTAACGTCTAGCAGCTCTCGAACCCTTCACCAACTTCCGATACAAACACTACTCCTACCACTACAAGCATTTCTAATGCTCTATCTCATCAATTCAATACACGAACTAGATCTCAAGACATACAAAGCAATTGGTTGCTTTGGGTCGACACTGAGTCGCGACAACGTCTGCTATGTCTCTGCTTTATTTTCGATGTCAAACAAGCCATGTACCACCAAAAAAAGCGAGCCAGACCATATCTTGATCTCAACATACTATACACACCCTGCTCGGAAGTTCTATGGGATCCAACTAATGCAGCTGACTGGGCTACCAACAAGACAGGGAGCAATGCAGGGCAACCACTCAACGTCATGCAACATCAGTACACCCAAGAGAACCGTGCCGAGCCTTCACATTTTGCTCAGTCACTCAACGTGTGTTTCTTGACATCTCAACTTCCCAACCGTGTCGATCCTAACCATCACTATCCAAACGATTATCAAATACACGATATATATCCCACAATACTCGAACTTGTAACATTATCTCCAGCATCTTCAATGGCATATAGTTTTATCGCGTTATACCATACGCCACTCCGTGACCTTTTGGCTGTGAGCGGGGATACCTGGGTATTCTCTCAAAAAATCACAAATCAAACCCATTTTCGCGAAGCACAGGCACGTCTGAAAACTTGGTCATCGTCTCTAGCAGCAGCCACCGCCACACATTATGCTTGTCGCATCTTACTCTCCGAGTTTTCAGCACCACACATCCCATCTTCCAATAATAACACAACGCAACATTCTCCGGACCTTTCTCACTATTGGTCTTTGAATATCGCCGCGTTGATCTGCTGGGCATTTGGACACCGAATCAGCGGAAACAGCGATACTGTTACAGCTCTAGACTTCGACACTTCTCCCGAAGCTTCGGAGGATGTACGACTTAAAGCTCTCGTGTATCTCAGTTCTATGGTCGAGCTAGATGTCAAAGATCTCCTGAATAGCAAGGCGACTATGCGGGGACAGACCTCTTTTGTTGTCGATGCAGTGCGCGCACGACTAGAGATCGATAGTGTTGGAGGCCACTGCATGAGTCTCGTTGATTCCATTTGTGTCTTGAAGCGTCTTAATGAGAGCGGAAGAGGGAAGTGGTTCTAAGTCTCTTTTTCTTATCCTTCCTGTTTTCATTCATTTCCTTTTGATCATTTCCTTCATCTTCAACTTCACCTTTCAATTTCTTTCCTAGATCAATTCTTTTGAATTGACCTTGTGCGATAAGTTTTTTTTTGTACTTCTTCACTTCCTAACTGAAGAAGCGGATTGGCATATGATATGCCTCAAGTAATGATGTATTTTCTTTTCAAATTTCCCAATGTCTGGTTTCCTCCTATACACGTTGTCATCTTTTTCATCTGCGGGGGGATATCCATTTCTTTACATGTTGTCACGCTGTACGAGTACATCTCTTCATCTGTATTACCACCTACCTGTCTGTGTCTTTTATTTCCTTCCTATATCATTATTTCCATTTCCATTTCTACATTTCTCTCATGATTCCTTTCACTTTTTCGAGTTTTTATTTTACCTCTCTGCATATGATTGATGTTAATGAATAAAATGCAAATCGTGATATATCATATGATATCTAATTGATATGATAGTGTTATAATCGAGGGGTTTAAGGAGGTTTGGCTGATGGGACGGATCGCACTACATACACATACACATACACATACACATACACATACACATACACATACACATGCATAACACATTCATGATACCCCGGAAGATGCGCGAGCGAGTCGGAGCAAGGAAACAAGGAGGGACGGGCATGGGAGGAGGGAAGGAAAATTTGCGCTTGTACACTATTGCTTTGCTTTGCATTGCGTTTGTCTTGTCTTGTATTCTATTGTATTGCGTTGCACCTTGCTTTTCCTTTCGAGCATTTAGATATAGATATCAATTGTTTATATCACACACATCCACACACATCTATCCATAATATCTACAGAAACTTAACAACAAGTGAACACTCGCTGTGCGCTAGGAAACATAAGGAAAATAAAGCAAAGCGATATAGCTGCAATCATCCATACCAGTACTAACTCTCCTCGAAAAGTAACTTCTCTTCAAAAAACTCCCTACACATGATCGATTGTCCATTATCCATTACCCATCAGCTCCCAATCCCCATCTCGTACAAAGCAAAACCCACAGAACCCATCTACTGCAGACTGCAGTAAGTAACACCACCTATCTCCAACCCTCGTCCCATCCATTCATTTATCCTTCCACCCATCCATATATCGATCCATCCCAATCACTGCACAATATATATGTACGGTTACATATCAATACACAGACACACACACACACACCGCATACACGCATACACACCATAGACCCCGATCCCGACAAAGACAGAGAGCCCGACGCATCCTGCTGTCCTTTTATGCCATGCCATGCCATGTTAAAAGGGTCTTTCAACAATACTCCTCCGTACACAAATCTCTCATAGCTCCGAGATAGCCATCAAAATCTGGAGGTGAAATCCCTTTTGCACAAGACATCTTTCAGATCAGAGCTACCAATTCACTTGATTTCGCTTGATTTTGTCATTTTCCGAACCCAAGGAATATACTCACCACAAGTCATTTCAGACCACTGCAGCAGCACTGCAGTAGACGTGTATCGTTTCAAACAGTCAAAGTTACACACGCAAAGTTCAAACACCCAACATTAAATTATCGAAACTGCATTTTTATTCATTAGAAACGAGGAAAGCCTGTATTTACAATTTTCCAAAGTGGTACGCTTGCTTGCTTTCCTCCACTCACAATTTATCTTTCATGAATTGACTCAACCCATCATCATCAATCAATCACTAACTAGACTAAATACCAACTAACACCAGAATGTCGGCGAAGTCAAGAGAACCATTTGTAACTTTGTAAAACGAGAACTAGAAAATTCAATGCAACAAGGGCGGGCAAGGGTACTCAGCCGGTATCAAAAAGCACAATCCACACTCTCTCCTTCTCGTTTACGCTTATCCCACTTTAAACTCCTTCCTCCACATTACGTACTCCTGGGACAAGGCAAACAAGGATCTGGTAATATCTTACAGTTCAGGAAAAAGGTGTGCCTCCCAGAGTATAATCGCTGTGTCTGTCTTACCACTACCATTTCATCCAGCCACTACTTTCATCCACTTACTCCTTGTGGAATTTTGCCTTCAACTTGCCAAAAAAGCTGGTTCGCTTCTTCTTTTTGTCAGCCGCGGCAGAGTTAGCAGAGCTGTCTGCAGCGTTGGTGCTTGATGGAGTGGCGGATTCGGCAGAGGTCTTTGCGGGGGTAAGGGTAGCACTCTCCTTTGGAGGAGTGGCTGGAGCAGAACCTGAAGTTTCAGGAACACTTGTAGAACCCAATCCACTAGTAACAACAGGTGCAGCGTGGTCTCCGGTGGCGGGACTAGTGTGTGGTGAAACATCTCTGGAATCGATTGCCTTTGTTTCTGTTCCTGATGGTTCAGAGATGGTGGGAACGTTGGTAGATTCAACCCCTGTGGTAACAGCTGGGGCAGTAGCATTAGAGGTGCTTGGAACCTCTGTAGAGGTGACTCCACTGGTGACAACTGGAGCAGTAGAAACAGCAGGTTTAGAAGGCTCAACAACACTTGTTGAGTCGATCTTGGGTGCAGGTTCACCGGTTGAGTTTTCAGGTTTGATCTCGGACAATAATTCCTTCTCGAAGGCCTTCTTATCAAGGACAGCTTCTTCGTTGGCGGCAGCCTCTGGGCTTTGACCCGATTCAGCAATCGACTCCTTAACAACCGCAGGGGTGTCCTTGGCCGTGGATGTCTCGGGCTTGACTCCGGACAATAATTCTGCCTCAACAGCTTTCTTGTCGAGAACGGCTGCTTCGTTAGCAGCAGCTTCTGGGCTTTGACCAGACTCAACAATCGATTCTTTGACAATTTTTGGAGTGTCCTTGGCAGTTGTTTGATCCATAGTGCCGGTGGTATTGACTGATCTGATGGACTGTTGAACAGATTCTGGCAACTTGCTGGTCAAGCTCTCTGGAAGGTTGCTTGGAATGCTTGTAACGCTCTCTGGAAGTTTGCTTGGAATGCTTGCAACGGTCTCGGGAAGTTTGCTTGTAACGCTCTCTGGGAGTTTACTTGGGATAGCAGAAGCAGCGGCATATGCGGCACCTCCTACAGCGATCGCAGCTGCTCCAACAGCAGCGGCAGCCTCACCTGCAGTAACAGTCTTTTCAGTCTTGGTTGTTCCTTGTCCAGCAATTCCTTCGGAAGTTGTTGGAGCAACACCAACCTCCCTCTTAAGTTCCTTCTCAACTGCGCTCTTCTCAGAAACTTCGGATGGAATTGCGCTAGCCTCTGGAGCAAATCCGGCCTCTTTTTGGCTCTCCTTGACCACCTCTGGCACCTTTGTTGATTCGAGTGGAACCTTGGCGGCAAGGATAGATGTTGTGGTTTGCGGACCGGCAGATTGGATGGTTGGGTTTATTGCATCATATGTTCCTGCTTCACCTGCTCCAGTTGGCAAGCTTGATTCAGGAATCAAGTTCTTGGTTGTAGAAGTCAAACCGAGAATTCCAGTACCATTCAACTCCCGCTCCGCCTGAGGAGTGACCACTGGAGGGAGGATGGGAGCATAGCCCAATGCGTCGCTATTTTCGTATGATTCCTTGTCGGTGCGAACAGCCGAGTGGATGGTGTTGGTAGTGAAGTCGCTTGATTTAGGGATCTGCTGTCCAGGCGCAAGTTTTATAGGGTTTACTCCACCAGCAAAAGCGGGGAGAGGCGAGACACCAAACGTAGACTCGGCTTCGGATTTGGCTTTGTCTGCAGCGACAAGCTCGGGATCATCATGTACGCCAGAAGTGATATCGTTGGTGGTGAAAGAGCTTGGATGTGGAACTTTCTCTCCTGGTGCGAGCTTGATAGGATTGACTGCTCCATCCGCAGCGGGCAGAGGATTCACAGAGAAATCACCAGTTTCCACAGCTGCTGGGGTTTCGGGGAATGCTCCAGGCAAATCTGAAGAGCCATTTTGGGCGAGTGGGGATTTCTCTTTCTCAAGAGGAACACTCTTTGCCAATGCTGACGTAGTTGAGGTTGGGGTAACGCCAGACATAATTCCAGCAGTCGCAGGTGTATGTTTGACAATTCTATCAGTTGTGAGGACGTTATTTAAATTGCCCGATGCGTCGTTTTCTTGAGGGGCGGTGTGATCTGTAACCCAGTTACCGTCGACGACGAACTGTGTGATATTCAATTAGCTTCTTGAAAAATTGACTAAGTTCGAGAGAAACGGCAGGGAAAAAAAAATAAGAAGATGGGTCAGGCTATGTTTTTTAAAAGAAGGCCGGTAGTTGAACATAGCTGAAGCAAGCAAACAAGCGGGGTTGGGGAATAGGCGGGACCTAGCCTGCGTGTACAAATTGAATTAATCATGCAAGCAACAGGCCTGATTATTATTGGGAGTGAATTTTGCCAACTTCGCGGCCTGGCAAAATCAACTTTCATGCGTCATAAGTGGAGGATTTTTCAAGCTGCAAGTCTCACTTCCACGCATGCTTCGAGAGTGGGAATTTGAATCACTAGGCGCATTTGACGAGCGACGTCGATTTCAATTTCGACCATGTCGCAATCATTGTGGCCATTGTTGCCATTATCGTTGTCGCCGACAAAAGCAAATTCCAATATCGCATCCAAATCATCCGTCATACTAGGCTCACCTTGTAATAAATCTTTTCTCCAGCGTTTGCCAGTTGGACATCCTTCGAAAAGACGTCGCCAGTCTTTACTAATTTTTCGCTCTTGGACCAGTTATCGAATGTTCCAGTAACATAGACCTCTTCCGCAGGATGCTCCCTAATGAGAACAAATTTGGTTAGCTGTCGAAATAATCAAATTGACAATACACGGCTTTGATGAAAATTTGTGCCACTGTTCAGATAGCACCTTGCGCATACTTGTATGTGTTGCAGATGATGGGGATCGGAAATGCAGCAGAGAGGAGTCTTCTCAGAACCAATTGAAACGATGATTGCCAGAAGGATATAAATATAGAAGAAAAAGGAAAAGGAAAAAAAACTTACCATTTGAAAACAAAGCTTCCCATTTTGATGGGTATAGGGTATTGAGCAAACAAGAAGAGATAATGTAGGTGAAGCTAAGAAATGATTGAAAATGATTGAAAATGATGAATCAAAGATGTTTTGTTGATGTGGAGGAGAAAAAGCTGAAGGCGGAATGATAAGATTCGACCTTTTTGGGGATTTGATTGTGTATGCGTAGTAGGCAGGCAGTAGGTAGTCAGGCAGTAAAGTAGAAGTTGGTGGTCGGAAATTATCTGGGACTGGCGCCAAAACGGTTCAGTGCGGTTACAGATACGGACGATAGCTGGGCTCTTTGTACAAAGTTGGTAGGTAGGTAGTAGGTAGCGGGAGGGGATGAAAGACTTCTGGCTGGATCTGACTTTGGATCTGACTTTGACTTTGAATTTGACTTTGACTTTGACTTTGACTTTGACTCTGTTGGAATATTAATGGATTTATTTATGTCGACCAGGGAAGAAGATATCACTGATAACCCAAGTTTTTAATCTAATTTTAAATATGCGATATGCGAGTCGAGTCTTCCAAGGTTATTACTGTACTGTACTGTACGGTACGGTACCGTACCGTATGGTTATTGTAGTGAATTGCGCACGAAGGAATTTCAAACTCGGATATTCTTTGGATACAATGGAATAAAATGTGTTGAGAAAGAGAGCAGGAGGTAGGTACGAGAGGGTATGGTATGCATGGAATTCTTCTTCTTTGTTATCCAATCAATTTCTAATAAGGAGGCTGGAGGAGAGATAAGAGAGGAGGGATCATGAGGACCTAGGGATGACTCTGAGCATGAATGAGTGAGAAGAAAGTGTTGGTATTTATTCTTCTTCTTCTTCTTCTGATGATGATGTGATAGATCATAGAAACAATAGAACCATCGGACAAGCACAACTAGGCTCGTTTGTTATCAAAGCTACCCTCCCTACCCTTATTGATGGCTGTGTGCATATGCAAGAATATGCTTGATTGCCTCATCAGAGCGAGCTCCAGTTCCCTAAAAGTGGCCCATGAAATCCCTAGCTGGCAATTTAAAGTGATTAATGTCAAATATTCTGGGTGTCATGCATGTATGACATTGTATGTACAGATTCGAGACTGGATACTCTTTCTTTTGATTAAGATAGCTATGCAGGACTGTCTCTACAAGTCGAAAACCTGAAAGTTCCTCTATGGCTCCTTGAATGTTCGACAGCTTGACAGCTTGACAGCTTGATGAAACCAGTTTCCATGATAGAGAAATAGACAGCCCTTCAGTTTGAACGCTATCACTTGCACGGAAGGAGTAGTAGTGTAGGGCTTCATGGGAGGAACCCTTCACAAGTACCTAGTCCCTACCGGTACCTACTACGCAGTACGGAGTATCTGTCATGAAGGGGGCAAAAACTTGAAAATTAGAGTTCCCTGGTAGAATGTTGAGCTTGGCTGGAGGTTTCATTCGTGATGATTCTGATGATTCTGATGAAGGGGGCAATCCGAAACTAAGCACTCATTAAGTAAAAAGACATGGGAATCTTGATAGAACGACCGGTGATGCCGCTTTTAATCACCGACCGGAATGACGGACAGAACTTAGAAGAGGACTTTTAGGTGTCAAATGCTTCTGCCTCATTATTGCGGGGAACCCAAAGTAATCAATCACACGCATTGGAGCGAGCTACTAGCTACTAGCTACTACTAGACAGAAACTCTATTTCGTTTCTCATGATTGTGTGAGAAGAATCATGAGCTTCCATTGGAGCCGATTGCCCCTTTATGTACACTCGAGTCACGATTTGGGAATCAAAAGATGTGCTTATGTGGTAGGTATGCATTTGACATTGACATAGGTAGTAAGTAGTAAGTGATAAGTAACAAGTAACAAGTAACATGTAACAAGTCTTCTATTTCATTCGACGTTTTTCTCCATAAAACCCCCTCTCCCCCTCAAGGCTCAAGGAACTCAAGGAACTCGATCAATGAACTTCCTCCCGTCAAAGCGAATACCTAGGTATATCTAGTAAGCATTTTGATAGTTTTCTTGCTGTGACTATGACGTTTACTCAACCCCTTAACCAGGTGCTTGTACGCACAAAGTATCCAAGTATCAGATGGTTATTGAAAGTCTACCAGTGGTCTATCAGATCATCTGTAGATACCTAGGTCGTGTTGTTGATGGATACGAGGAATTTAAAAGATATTCATTAATATGGTATTCATGATTATGTAAGATAAATTGTATGAGTCGTGCTGCGAGAGAAGAAACCAGAGCTCCCAATACAAAGAACAATAATATTAAATAAGCCATCCATTTGTCAATAGAATGAATGTCCATCGCAGACAATCGGAGATTGAACTCTCGGTGAAAAAGGCATGGTTCTTTGTTTCAATCAAATTTTGATGATGAATATGAATGGCAATCACTGACAGCAAATTTGATAAGGAGAAGGAGGAGGAGAAGGCGATACAACGACTAAGACCACCAATTGAGCAATACCAATCATACAGCCTTTGTTCATTGCAAATCAGAATGTCTGATATTTAAAGCTATTGAAATGAATGTTCTCACAGCTTGGACGCCAATCTTTTCTCTCTCTATATAAGAAGTCTTGGACCAAATATCGATCAAAAAGATGGGAACTCTTTCCAATACATTTGATTCATCCAATACATTGTGCATTATCTGTTACTTGACCCGTTGCTCTGTCTAAGTATTGAGGTAGAGGGAGAGAAGTTGAGAGAGTTCAATATTGACCCTGTTATCATATATATATCATTGTTCAACTCTTCAACCTTCTTGCAGGACACTTCCCCTACATGTCGACCTCCCTAGGATTATCATTATTGTTGTTGACTTGATCATCCATCGGATCCATCTTCGCACGCATACATACATACATACATACATACTTACACATATACCTACCATATCTCCTTCGTACATAAAACAAGATTACTTTGCCGCACCCAAACATCAAGCATTATTCCTTTGGATCGTTTCAATTCCTTCTAGGTTTCTTCTCGAACTTTTCATCGAAGCTTCAAAAACCAATCAATTTTATTCCATCTCACTACCGCTTCCCTCCCCCACATCCAAGCGAGAAGGGTTGTTACGATAGGCAAGAGCTTCGCCATTTCCCCCCTCCCCTCGCCTTGTCGATCAAGATACCGGTACCTTCTTTCCAGTCTCTTTAGATAACTCTCCCTCAATAACTCCTTTTAATACTCTTCCATTCAATTATCATCTCAACCCTCGCACCCTTCTATCATACCAACACCATCTCATCTCCTACCGTGTTAGAGTCTCGTTCCAGTATTGAGAGGTCAGACTCAAAGCTCAACCTATTCAATAAGGTCCTGGTAGGTGTTTACCTTTACTCCACTTTCCTCGTGGATTCATTAATTCTAGTACAAAGTACGGAAGCTTGTTCGCAATAGAGAGGAAGTTGCTCTGAATACATCAATCATTTCCATCAACTTTCTAGCTGTCAGTGGCATGTTCTCTACACGCTCCCTTCACATTGACTCACTGCATGCACTTCTCATGAGCTCTCACTAAATTGTTTTACACCATTATAGAGATTACACCAACGTCATCCGTCAACTCCTTCTCAATTCCGCCTTATCTGCCGTGGAATCTTCTTCTCGATTCACTCGATTACATTGTCGCAATTCTATGAATCTGCACTAGTTTGTAAACAAAGCATTGAGCTGTTTACCTCACATAACGAGTTCGAATGTCACTACCGTCGGTGTACTTGACCGAAATCGAGTCCCTCAGTCAAGAAATTATTAGAAACCAACCTACCGATATTTTACAATTCTGTGCCAACTATTTTAGTCAACGTCTAGAAACTGAGCGCACAGGGTTTCTTACATCTCGCAATAGATCATATCGTTCCGTATCACCAGGGACAGCAAATCGGCCGAGAATGGCTGGAAATACATTCCCTGGTCGGCTTGGAACTCACGTCAATCCTTTTGGTGGTGATGGAAATGGTTTAGGACATGAACAAGCGGTTCCCGGCAATATTTCAAAAGTCATAGAGGAGGATGAAAATGATACGATAACATCACCAACAACACCAAATTTTGGATTCTCAAAGGGAGTTCCTTCATTTGGAGCTTCGTTTGGAGCTTCATTCGGAGGAGACGCAAGTACCGGAGACTTTCCACCATCTTCTTTCAAACCTGCGAGCGAAGGATTCCCCGAGCATTACGGCATGGGAAGGCGCACTTCTGTTTCAGCCGAATCTCTCAACCCAACAGCTTCATCCAACGATAACTGGTCTCCACCCTTTCATCAAAAGACACCGGACCAAGTAGCACGCTTGAAGAAGTCGATTTCCGGAAACTTTCTTTTTAGTCATCTTGATGACGAACAAAGCGCTCAAGTACTAGGTGCTCTCGTAGAGAAGCCAACTCCTGCCGTTGGTATCAAGGTATGTGTAGCTTCAATTGTTGAGCCTTTTGATCCCCACTAATTTAATCTAGGTCATCTCGCAAGGTGATCAGGGAGATTTCTTTTACGTAGTCGAGAAAGGCTCTTTTGACGTACATGTCAACTCCAGTGGCTCACTGCAACCAGGTCCTGATGGTCTCGGGACCAAGGTAGCCACCATTGAGCCTGGTGGATCTTTTGGTGAACTCGCCCTCATGTATAACGCACCCAGAGCAGCCACAGTTATATCTGCAGAGGCTTCCTGCACTCTCTGGGCTTTAGATCGTATAACCTTCCGCAGAATTCTGATGGATTCAACATTCCAGCGCCGTCGCCTCTATGAAAGTTTCCTCGAAGAAGTACCACTTCTTTCAACTTTGACCCGTTATGAAAGGTCGAAAATTGCTGATGCTTTGGAGACCCAGAAATACCCACCTGGTACTTCAATCATAAATGAAGGGGATGCCGGAGAAGCATTCTATCTTCTTGAGAGTGGAGAGGCTGAAGCATACAAACGTGGCGTAGATAACCCAGTAAAATTATACCACAAGGGAGACTATTTCGGAGAATTGGCATTACTAAATGATGCTCCCCGAGCTGCTAGTGTTGTTAGCAAAACCGAAGTAAAGGTAGCTACCCTTGGCAAAAACGGGTTCCAGAGATTATTGGGACCGGTTGAAAGTATTATGAGAAGAACTAAATATGAGGGCGTGGAGAGCATTGATCCCCTTCACCAGAACTAAAGGATTGTTGGTTTGGAATGGATTCGTTTTACTTGATGGCGTTCAGATACAGGTTACGTTCGTTCATGAGATGATCATATGGACTAGGGATTATTAGTGGGCAATACCTGAGATGCAGACAAGAGTCAGATTTTTCAATCACTTTGCAATTGTATTATTGATGCTGTTAGCGAACTGCTTTTGAATGCTAATTAGTTCTACACCATGCATCTTTTCTCCTGATGCCTCGAATCAGAATTTTGTGATGCGACCTCATGGACACCAAAACCGTAGATATAAACATTTCAACAGTGGTACTAAATCTTGTCCACATTTGGTCCTTCGCTGTTCAGATATCATGTAGTCTCAACCAGAGCCTGGCTAGTAATTTATCCCATGTCCCTTCTCTCTATTCCATATATTACATACCCCCAACTCGAAATTAGCTAGCACCCGCCCTTCTCCTGTCCAAAATCTCCCTCCTGATACCTTCAGCTGCCACCTCCGTCTCCAACACTCTCCCGATGCCCTTCTTCCACCCTTCCTCTAGACCCTTAATCTCTGCCTCCGCAGCCTCCTGTGCATTCTTCCTCCCAATTACTACAATATCAATCTCATCTTTCTTTGCGGCGACCTCCCTCTCCAACCCCTTTAATATATCCTCCAACTGCGCGTTTCCAATTAACCAAGCATTTTTACCAAACTGGTCGAGGAGAGAGAGATTGGTAAGACGCGTATTTAAATAGGTTTGAGAAGTGTAGGCTTGGGAGAGGAGAGTCTGAGCTGGCAGCGTGGAGTCCGCGGGGGAGAGTGTTTCGTAGCGGGTTAGGTCGATGGATTTTAGAGGAGGTGGAGGGGTTGAAGAGGATATGCGAGCGTGTTCTGCGGTAAGGGCGGGCGAGAGATTGGAGGGGAGGAGAGCCGGGAGTGAGGGGTGTGGTGTGGATGGGGAGTTGGGCTCGAGCGAACTGGTTATGAGGGATTCGGCGGCGGCGCGTTCAGAGGGGGTAGGTTCGACGTCGATGTAGGGGAGGGATTCGTGGATTTCGTTTATGAGAGGCATTTTGGAGTGGAGTTTGGAGTTTGGGTTGATGGATTGTGAGGTCGAGGTATTCGATGTGGAGGAGCTTGAGATTGGTTTGAAATTTGTATAAGCACCTATTCGAGATTATGTTTTTCCTGTCGTGTTTTTAAATATCCCCGATATGAACGGATTGTGATAAATCGTGAGCTACTGTTTTTAAAATTGTAATATAAGTGCTTGGAAAGAATTGATGTATTTGTTTATTCGATATAATAAATATAAATTTCTCATTTGCAAGTCAAACACGCCTAGAAGCTTAAGGTTTGCCTTGCGCGCCAGGCTCGCTCCACTAAGGGAGCTTGACTGGGAACCAAGGAACCAGCCGCCACTCCCGCCTCAAGCTTTAAGCTACCTCTAGATTGTTCACCATGGGATGATGTATTGACATTCCCATATTTTGATGGGACTCTGTTATCATTATTGAACAAAGTATTGTTTACTTTGAAATCATGGAGCGGGATCCGGAAATGAAGATTGGTCTTCTCGACCAGAACCGACGTGAGCATAGACAGAATAACTCCCGCCCAAATCGATTTTGGATGAATGTCGTTGGAGCAATTGTCGTTGTCGTAACCGTATTATGTTTATGTGATTCTTTCAATGGCGGATCTTTGCGAAAGGGGCTTTGGGTATGGAACGATGGGGATTACGAAAGTACCGGAAATCAACAGTATGGTAGTTCGGAGGGGAGCCAGTATTTACTGGGGGTTGGGAAGGCAGATATCACTGGGTAGGATCTCCCGTTTTAATACTGTGATATCGTACTAATATCTCTTAGTCCAGTTGTGGAAATAAACATGATGGGATATGCAGATACCAAGCAAGTTGGATCGGGGTTACGGCAACGCCTCTATTCTCGAGCTTTTATCGTAGGAGATATCGATCGGCCGGAAGACCGGTTCGTCTATCTCGTTCTGGATACACAATCGGGAGATACTGCTGTTAGATATGGGATACTGGAAGGTCTCGCAAATCTAGGTAGCGATTATGCTGTGTATGGACAACAGAATGTAGCCGTGACAGGCACACATTCTCATTCTGGTCCTGGTGCATGGTTGAACTATCTACTACCTCAAATCACCAGCAAAGGATTCAGTAAACAGAGTTATCAGGCTATTGTAGATGGAGCTGTTTTGTCTATCCAAAGAGCTCATACTAGCCTTCAACCCGGATATCTGAATGTCGGTTCGACGAAAGTTTTTGGGGCCAATATCAATAGAAGTCTATATGCCTATTTGGCAAATCCGGAAGAGGAACGAGCAAAGTACAATACTAGTACTGAGGATGATGGATCTGTCGAGAAGGACCTCACTCTTTTGAAATTATCACGAGCTTCTGACGGGAAGAATATTGGGGTCTTGACATGGTTTCCTACACATGGGACTTCAATGCTGGGGAACAATACTCTTATTTCGGGAGATAACAAAGGTGTCGCTGCAGACCTCTTCGAAAAGAGTGTAGTCCAGGAGGACAATGCAGCTGAAGGCTTTGTGGCCGGATTCTCGCAAGCTAATGTTGGCGATACAAGCCCGAATGTTCTTGGTGCTTGGTGTGAAGATGGATCTGGGCAGCAATGTAGCTTCGAAAACAGCACGTGCAGTGATGGTAAAAGTCAGTACTGCCATGCTCGTGGACCGTTCTTCCGCGTAAAGGATAATGGTGCATCATCGTGCCACGAGGTTGGCAAGAGACAATTCCAGCCTGCCAAGAAATTATATGACGAGACGGACACGAAGTTGACTGCTGTTTCGGGATCGTCCGTGAAATCGTTCCATACATTTCAAGATATGTCAAATTTCTCATTTTCTTTGGACAATGGAAGCTACGTTCATACGTGTCCAGCTGCTTTGGGATATTCCTTCGCGGCTGGGACATCTGATGGGCCAGGTGCATTTGATTTCACTCAAAATGATCCCAACACACCAAATGCTTCGCCCGTGTGGCGTGTCGTGTCCGGTCTCATTAAGGCACCAAGCAAGCAACAACAGCGTTGCCATTATCCCAAACCTATTTTACTTGACGTTGGCGAGATCACAACACCTTATTTGTGGACACCCAATGTAGTCGATGTACAATTACTTCGAGTCGGACAATTGTTCATCATTGTCAGTCCTGGAGAAGCAACCACGATGTCTGGTCGTCGCTGGAAAGAAGCCATTCACGATTCCGCTGCATCCACCATCCTCTCAGACTCATCTTCTCCAGACCCAATCGTGGTCATCGGAGGCCCAGCTAATAGCTACACACACTACATTGCCACTCCCGAGGAATACGGCATCCAACGCTACGAAGGCGCTTCCACTCTCTACGGCCCGTATACCCTCAACGCCTACATCAACCTCACACTCTCCCACCTCCCCTTCCTAAGTCCCACCTCCATTTCTCAACCCCCACCCGGTCCCCTCCCCCCAAATAACGTCAATAAATCCCTCTCCTTCATAACCGGCGTCGTCTATGACGGCCACCCCATTTTCACCTCTTACGGCGACATAAAAACCGACGTTTCCCCCTCCTACCCTCTCTCTTCCTCCCCAATCATAACCGCTACATTCATCGGCGCCAATCCACGCAATAACCTCCATCTCGAATCAACATATGCCTCTATCGAAATCTTTATCCCCGATACCTCGAAATGGGTCCGCGTCCGCGATGATAGTGATTGGAGTCTTATCTTCGAGTGGAAAAAAGTAAGCGAGATTTTGGGGACGAGCGATGTGACTATTACATGGGAGACGGAGGAGTGGGCTCAGAGGGGTCGATATCGGATTAGATATTTTGGTGATTCGAAGGCGGTGGGGGGCGCGATTACGCCGTTTGAGGGGGTGAGTGGCGTGTTTGAACTTGTGTAGTGAGGGGTTGGTTGGGTAGGGGTTTCTTTTATGGGTTATGGGTTATGGTCATGGTTATGAGCATTGGATTCGGTGATTTTGGAATAGGGACTTGAGGGAATGGGGTAATGGTATACATGCCCAATCCAATTGGCATAGCATGGACAGGTTAAATTGTTATTGGTGTCGGAACGACAGAACGGTCGCATTTGATTGTAAACTATATCGGGATATATTGACTTCACTTGGAACATTCATACCACTGGGATTTGGATTTGAGTTCGGGGATCACTGTCAATTAAAGATATTGAAACTATACAGAAACCTTTACATCACTTGAAACATTGTGATTCGAAATTATAACATGAATCTTTCTATTCATGATTTTATACTTTTTTCATTTGCTGGGTATTATACTGTATAGACAAGCTCGCGCTCAAGAAAACACCAAAATATGGAAAATTCCCCCCAATCTCTTATTCAAATATGTAACCAAATCTTCGCCAATAAACTCCATCATATCACCATGTCTCCACATTATCGTAAGTTCAACCCATGGCTGCTGCTCTCTTTAATTTTATCCTCTCCCTTTGATCTACCTTCCATGCATCTTCGAAAAGCGTTGGCTTTACTTTGAGATCCCCCGGGGTAAGATCTAAAGCTCTGACAACCTTGAATGCACCTGTACCAACACCCATTGTCTGTCCCATGATGATACACTCACTAACGCCCTCGATCCTATCCGTCTTCATGCCTGCAGCCGCATCGAAAAGATGATCTGGTGTTTTCTCAAAGGATGCAAGTTGCAACACACTATCTCTCATCTTGGAAAGACCGAAACGTGTGATACCTAAGACTTCTCCCTTGTACGTCATGACATCAGCAAGAAGTTGCATGTGACGAGGATCGATGTCCATGTCTGCCATGACGGTTGCAATTTCATTGGCGATAGTGGAACGAGCAGCTTCAATACCGAGAACATCGCGCATCTCCATGACACTGTTAGATTTGACTTTGGTACCGTCGACACCTTCAGTTCCGATACAGGCACGGAGACCATATCCTTCGACGACGACAGTGTACTCTGGCACCGCATCTTCAGATGTGTTGATGATAGCTCTGGTGGCTTCTGGATATCCAGATATTGCCAATTCTGGCACAGCGCGCTTGAGGTGATGTACACGAAGTAGAAGGTCAGAACCACCCTCATCGAGGGATGGTTTTCCTTTAGCTGCGGCTCCTCGAGCTGTGGTGAGAGCGCTACCATCGTGTGTGACGTTAATGAAAATGCAGTTCCCTTTGACGTGTAAATCTTCGCTCCGGATCTTGAGTTTCTTGTTTTTCAAAATTGTGTGTGCAATATTTTCCACAGTAACTTCGATTTGCCTATTTACCAAATATTCAGTGTCTACAGCCAAACAGATTATGGCAGATTTCGCTGACCACATGTCTTCGGCGAAATGAAGAACTTCGTGTAGGTAGGTCTTCTCCATACGAGCTTTGACGAGACGAGCTA